CAACTGACATAGATTTGATTAGGGTGATTTCCACGGACCTACATAAGACCCTTAAATTAAAATTTTTTCTTTATTTCATTGATGCATTTTAGGTGTACAGAATCATGAGTTTTGTTTTGGGATATTTTTACATGCGTATAATATATCTTGATTATTGTTATGGTTTATGTCTGTGTGTCCCCCCCAAAGCCTCCTGCGGCCCTGGGGCAGGCTATTAGAGTTTGAATATGGGTGTGAGAGCTGCACCCGCCCTGGAGTGGATAGTTTGCATATGTAAGGAGAGGAGGAAGCTGCTTGGGGAGATTCCTCCCCCATTCCGCCCTGGTGGGTGCTTGCGGCTGCCGCCCTGAGATGCAGCCCTCTGCCACGTGCCACTCTGTCTTATAATCATGCCTAGTACGGATTGAAACCTCCACAAACTGTAAGCGAAATAAACCTTTCCTTTTTTAATTTTGGTCGTCAGATATTTTGTCCCAGCAGTGAGAAAAAAGTAACCAAGACACTTATATTCACCCCAATTGTCCCTTTTCTCTTCCCCTCCCTCTTCCCTGATCCCCCTAGTCGTATCTAATAGTCTCCCATCTATTTTCCTGCCCCATCTAGCACGCACGTGTATACACACACACACACACAGAATTCTCATTGTCATTAAACTATCACCAACCATCCATCTCTAGAACTTCCTGACCTTTCCAAACGAAATTCTGTGAAACACTAACTCCTTACCTCCTCCCAGCCCCTGGTACCCGCCATCTACTTCCTGTCTCTATAGATCTCTCTAGGTAGCCTCTATGAATGGAATCCTCACAGTGTTTTTAAATCCATTACAAACTTTTGATTTTTGAGATACAGTAAGTCCCTGACTTATGAACAAGTTGTGTTCTGGGAGAACGTGCCTAAATTGGATTTGTTTGTAAGTCCAACAAAGTGAGTCTTTTACACAAATATACAAAGAGGAGCATAAAAAAAAGCATACACACAAATACTGTAAATAAACTATTTTTACTTTTACAGTTACTGTATAAGAGCAAGAGATGCCTACTATCTTTTCACCTTAGTCCAATCTCTCAATTATTTTCAAGTTTTTCTAATAGAGGAAAATGTATAATTGTTTCCAAAAGACAATAACGAATTTCTAACCAAACCATATGAGGGATAACTATTAAATCACGTTCCTAATTCAAATAAACAACAGAATGACTTTTTTAAAAAAAAAAAAACATGCAATGTGTCACACAGGAGCTGTGTAATAGCTTTTTTAAAAATTTATTTTGAAAAATAAAAGAAGGAAAACATATTAACAAACAGACATCCATTTACAAAATAGCATAAGAACAATAAAGGCAACACAGAGTTACAGACAAAGTGGTAGGAAATTAACAATGGTTGTTGTATTACGTATTGATATCTTCCAAGTGGTTTCTCAGGGAAACGAATAGAGACATGCAGAATTGATCCAAGAAGTAATCATTAACTGTTCCTTTTAGTAAAACAATAGAAGACAGTAGCGCAACTGTTAGCTATCCTGTATATACATACTTACATAAATCACCATGAGAGTGAAAAGGAAAGCCACAAATTGGGAAAAAATTTTAGCTGACTGTCCCTCGGACAAAGGTCTTCTATCCGGAACATGTAATAGCTTTTTATGAATAGCCATACTAGTAGCTTAATGATTAGAATTAAGCTGTGATTTAAGCATTTGCATCTTAACATCAACAGAGAGTAGAGCGCTCCACTCCGTGCGTGCTTTATCCGAGTGAACATCGTGCATGGCCATCATACCTGCGTCCAAATGAAGAACTTAACAGCAGGATCATACTCTGGACTCAGCTAAAGAGCTTGTCGGATTTCAGTGGTTTCGCACAGGTGTCCTTTCTCTGTTACACATCTCATCCAGTGTCACACCGTACCTTCAGTCAGTATGAGTTTGCTAGGGGTGCCGCTAACAAAGTGCTGCTGACCACGTAGTGTGTGAGGCACAGAAGTTTAACTTCTCACGGTTCTGGAGGCCAGAACCCGAGGTCGTGTTGGCAGGTGCTATACTCTGGATCTGACACACCCCGCAAAGGCCTATGTGGTATAAGCTGGTTCTCCAGCTCCGTGCCTCTGGGAAGTCGTGGAGACTTTAAGAAGTACTGTAAGAAGTACTAGTGAGCAGTCATTCTGGTCTGCAGGGAATGAGGGTTCTGCCACCCCTTCCTCTTTGCCTTTTCCACATCCCAGCTATGAAGGGAGCAGTTTTGCCGTACACTGCTGCCAAGACATGCTGTCTTTGCCAATGAGCTATGAGCCAAAACAATCCCTTTGTCTTTGTAAGCTGATTTATCTCAGATATCTGTTCCAGTGACGGACCACTACTGACAGCAGGGGTTCTCGCGTGGGTGTCTCTCCTTCGCTTGCCAGTGGCTGTCTTCTCTCTGCCTCTTTACATGGCCATCCTTCTGTGTGTATCTGGGTAGTACGTCCCCTTTTTATAAGGACGCCAGTCATTGGATGAGGACCTATTGTATTACCCTCATTTTAACTTAGTCATCACTACAAAGACCTTATTTCCAAGTATGGTCCCATGTGGAAGTACTAGGGCTTAGAACTTCAATATATGAATTTGGAGAGCTGCAGAGTTCAGCCCCACAATGGTCGTCATGACACTTGGTCTCCTCCAAACTCTGGCAGGTTCGTTGCCTCTGTGGTTGAGACGTGTTTGAGTGTGTTCACGTGCCGTGAGGTTGACCCCCAGTTTGGTACGTTGAGAACTACTGGAAGCTTTAAGTGGCTGGGTCTTTGTGGAAGGTAATTAGGTCACGGAGGGCATCATCTTTGGGAAGGGGTTAATGCTCAGTTCTTGGAAGGAGTTTCCTCAGAGGGGGTTATAAAAGCAGAACGTCTGGCCCCTCGCTGCTCTCCAGCTCCCTATCTTTCCCTTTCACAAGTGCTCCCGCCATGACACTGTCCGCCATGTTGGGATGTGGCCAAGAATGTCTTCACCACAGGCTGCTTGACTTCTAAAAACTCTGAGCTGAGTAAATCTCTTCTCTTTATAAAGAACCCAGCCTCAGGCATTTTGTTACAGCATCAGGGAACAGAATACTATAGCTGTCTTCCATGGAATTAGTAGTTTTGAAGAATATCAATTAAGCATTGTGTTGGATGGAATTTGACTTGGATATTCATGTTTTCTCAGGATTTAATGAAAGTTATGGGTTAGGGAGGAAGTGTATCACCAAAGGTGATACGTCCTTTTACTTACATCATATTTGTGGGGCAGGTGAGGAAGATGCATGATAGCCATATGATCATGACTTATTATTGGCACCTTGTTTAAAAGTGTTATCTGTCAGGTTTCCTACAATTTCCCCCTTCCTATAATCTCTTCTATATACTCTCAGTGGGTTTGTATTGCTGCCAAAGGGCTGACTTTTTGGAGGATAAAAAAAAAAAGGTCTCAGAGATCCCAGTGCCTTGAGCACCTCCAAAGCTCAGCCATTCCTAACAAAATCTTATTTCTTAATATTTTATTTGGGGGTGACAACTAGGGAAATGTATTTAAAGTTTACTGGGCACTTCTCTATTATTTTGAAGTGAATCACTATGTCTAACCACACGCAAGGGGGAGGAGCATTAAGCTCTCCTTCAAAGAAGGAGTATTTTTTAAAATGTATGAACGTAAGTTATAACCACCGTGGTAACCAATAAACTGGGGGGAAATGGAGATCCACTGAGGTTATACAAATACCAACCATGACTACAGATTTTAACTTTTAATTTACTTTTGATTAAGTCAACCTGTACATTAAACCAAACTACATCGTCTCCAGTGAAAACTAAAACTCCTCATTTTCTGATCTCAAAAGTTCTTTTCCTTAGGTTTTACTATATCCCAAATAATCCTCTTGCCAAGTTGGTTCTGAAATCAAATCTCTTTAATCTTAGCACTCAGGAGGCTGAGGCAGGAGGATAACCACAAATTGGAAGCCAGTCTGGGCTATCCAGTAGCCAGTTCAGGGCCAGCTTGTATTACATAATGAGATCCTGTCTCAAGAAAACAAAAAAAAAAAAATCCATAGTTATGTACAAATCATTTAAAAGAGAAATTTCACAAAAATAGAGAACATTTTGGTAGAGAAGACTCATGCCTAGTAGATATCAAAACATACTGTAAATTGTTTAGGGTTTCCTCCAAAGCAGAGCCTGAGGCGAGTGTTTGGATACTGCTAGTTTATCTGGGAGGAGATTCCCAAGTAAAGGAGGGGGAAAGAGAAGAGGACAGGTCAGGTAAGCAAGGAAGGGAGCCAGTGCAGGAGGCACTGATGAGCTTATGGTTGATGAGGGGAACTCAGATTTGGATCCATTGAGAGCCTTTGACAGGAGGCCTGGAATGTGTCTCTGAGTTATCTTGGCTGTTAAAGGTGGATTTAAACGAGATGAAATTTAGTGTGAAAGTTGCTTAGAGAGGAGCATTCTTGGTGTCACAGTCGGAGGAAGTGGGGAGGTCTGAGAAACTATTATTATTATTATTTATTATTATTATTATTTTAAAGAGAAAAACAATAAAAATGATACAGAATTTCAAAACAAGATGGTAGGAAGTTAACAAGGGTCACTTTTTTTCTTCTTTTTCTTTGGTTTTTTTCTAGTACCAGGATTCGAACTGACAACCTTGCGCTTGCCAGGCAGGCGCTGTGCCACTGAGCTAAATCCCCAGCCCCAACAATGGTTATTATATTGCATGTTGTCATCTTCAAAGTAGTTACAAGCTGCCCAGACCTTAATATGGCAAGACATTCTCATTGTTCAAGCGACTTTATAGAGTTTAAAACCCAGTGACCACTTCCTGATATCGATTAGTGGGGCTGAAGTTCAAACCCTCTGGTCACCTGTTTGGTCTTTTCGATGACCAGCCCCAGGTCGAGGCTTCCTCCCTATCCCAAGCCACCTCATCAACATAAGTGCATGTATGGTCACAGGAGCTCACTACGAATAACAAAGATACTATCATCTCAGGAATCCAGACAAAGACCAAATGTGTGCTTTTATTTTTCCAAGGGAGGGAGCTGGAACAGGCAGAGGAATAGGTCCAGGAGGAGGTCCGACGGCAGCCTGGGGAGCCCTGGAGCCCGAGTGGTCCTTCAGAGCTGTCCCATGTTGGCCCTGTAGGACCAGGTCCTCGTTGTCCCTTACACAACAGAGCTGTGCCAGGAAACAGCCCAGCCTCGGAGGAGCGCTCCCTGCTGCAGTCAGGGGGCAGGGGCTGAGGCGTGACAACTGCCAGCAGGAAGAGCTTCCGGTCTGGCCAACAGTTCCTTCTTGCTGGGAGACACGGAAGAACCATCTCAGGGTTCACCAGGGTCCTAACCAAGGAAGCTCGGAATGAAGGTATTTACATGTCAACTCTAGCCAGTCACCCATTTGAGGGGATTCATTCCCTCATGTTCTTGGTGTATAGGAGAGTTACAGCAACCAGAGAAAGTCCCCAGGTAGGGGTGCAGGACAAGTGGATAGACATTGAATACATGGAAAGGAAATACACGAGGATGGGATGAAGCTGCAGGAGACATGGTAGGAGCTACACACGGCAATGCGAAAACAACCTCTGGTATCAGCAAGAGGGAGGAACACATTAAGGGCACACACTTGTCTCTGGGTGTATTCCACACCTTGTAGCTATATTAGATTGCAAAGATGGGCCAGAACGACAGACACTCAGTCAGGGCGTATCTGGGAGGAAGGTGGAAGGACAGCAGGGGCCAAGCCCTCCAGATGGTGAGAAGTGTAGAAGAGACCCAGCTCTACGGTAAGTACTCAGTGCCAAAAGACTAAGAGAAGGAGCTGGCGTAAATGTGGGTAATGTTCTGGATGTGGTAGGGAAGTTGGAGCCGCCGGCGCCGTGAGGGGGACTGGCCATCAGTTAGAGCAGGACGCTGCAGATTGCTTACAGATGAAGTACTTGTTGATATCGCATCTGGCGTCATTCCAGCCATCACCATCAAATTCTGCACAGTCTTCCTCCCCCAAGTTATTGGGCTCCTTTGGGTTCCAGTATTTCATGAAGCTGAAAAGTTCATCCGGCACATGAGCCTCTGTCCCACCCTCTCCTCTGTGAACCGCATGTCTAGCTCAAGGGCACTTTGTGTTTACATCTACCCTGCATGCATGTGGCCGAGTATCTTATTCTGGACACCCAGTGGCACGCTTGGGTCACTTGGCCTTGTTGGGACTCTGATCCTTTTTGTCCACCATGGTTAGGAAGAGCCACTCAGCTGAAGGTGTGATTTTGAGATACAAAATGACAATGAAGATGCAACACTCCCAAGCGCCTCCCTTCCTGGTCATTGGTACACTGGGCCCCTATACACATCCTTAGAACCAGACAATTAGGGGCGCCCCTATACCCCAGAACCCTCTGACATTAAAACGTAGCCAATCCTAAGGCTGCTCCCTCTCCTTGACACTGAAATACAGTTTCTTACCCCACCTCCTGTTCCCTCAACTTCTGGATTGCCCTTGGTCCTTCCCCGTGGGGTCCACCATGGTGTGATATATACTCCCTCCCTTCAGCTCTGTGAGTAGAATGAGCTGCCTTTTAAAATGAAATGATCGCCTGAGCTTTTGGCCTTTCCACACCTCAGATTTTATGTTAATGAGCTATAGTTCAATTGCCCACCCAGGCTGGGAGTTTCTCCTGCAGCTCTGATGGTGAAATTTTGAGACCTGCCGCAGCCTGGATGTGGGTATGAAGACCACCTTCCCCAGCTCAGTAGGTATCACAGGCCCTTATGCTGAGGGGCCACGGAGTGTGTATTTTCTGGGCAAGAACGCCAAGTATAGCTCAAGCCAGAGTTTCAGAACCCCACCCCTCTCTGTCGGGTGTTCCCTTCTCCTCGGATCTACCTGAGAGACAGAGGTGAGCCATCCACCCAGTGCCACGTGGATTCCTTGTTCAGGTCTGAGAGTCCCATCCAGGTGTGGCCTTTACTCTTAGAAGCCAGCTGCAGGAAACTCTGGAGGTGGAAAGAAGGAGTCAGGAGGAGCTGTTTCCCCTCCCTCATTTTCCAGCTAGAGTCTCCTCCAGCTCCTGGCAGGGAGTCCTGCTTGCAGCTTGACCTTCAACCACCTGCTGGACCAAGGCCCAAGGCCCCCATGTGAACTCAAGAGGCCTGAGCCTCCCCCTCATCTGTATGCTCTGGACAGATGTGTTCTGAGTTGTACACAGAGAAGGTGTGTGTTTGGCTTCTCCCTACATGCATCTGTTAACACTGCATGTTTGTCTGTCTGACGAGTTCTGAGCAGGCCCACACGAACATACCCCTGACTGGGCTTAACGTGCTGGAGGCGCAGCGTACCAGCTCACGACTGCTGATCGTGTACATCGCCTCTTTTCAGCTTTCCACTCAGTGACATCCGCTCGTACCTTGAAATCAGCCACAGTAAGCGGCCCCTCCTCCAGAAAACCCTGATCTGACCAACCATCCCCCCCCAGCCTGGCCAGGGCTCAGAACAGATACAAGCTGCAGAAAAAGGGAGGGCCACCCACGAGCACCTGCTCCTCGGCGCTCTCCACGATGACCAGTTGGGCCCCTGCCTCCTTGCAGGCGGTCACTGAGTCACTCCAGTTCCGCTGGGATTTGGAGAAGAAGTAGCACTTCTCTTGGAAGAACGTCCAGTCCCAGGAGCAGGGGCGGCACAGGTTGTCTGTTGGAAGACGCGGTCAGGATGGACTCACGTTTGGATGTCTTCATGTCCTGGGGCCCTCCCTGACTCAGCACTCCAGGCCAGCCACTTCTCTGACCACTTCCTGAGCCCCTTCCCTACCCTAGGAAACCCCAGGAATCCTGGCCCCACCTCCTCCAGGCTGGGGGAAGTAGTGATTTTGGATCTCAGGAGAAAGGCTGGAAAACTGGCTTAGCTGCATTATCTCTGTGAAAAGCTAGCACCATCCTGTCTGTTGTCTTGTGTCCCCAATTCACAGATGAGCAAACTGAGGCTCAGAGAGGACAGGGGATGCTAGCAAAGTGACATGACACCCAGACCCTCTCAGTTTCCTGTCACTCATTCATTCAGTCCCAGGGGCAGGGCCGGCACAGATGGTCTCCTGGGAGAGGCGGTCATGTTGGACCCATGTTTACATGCTCATGTTCCTGTGATTATCAAGCCTTTGATTCCCAGAGAGTCAGGCCCTCCCTTGATGCGGCACCACGGGGGAGCGCTTCCCTCCCCACTTCCTGAGCCCCTTTCCTGTCCCAGGAGAACCCAGGAGCCCCAGCCCTTTTCCTCTAGACAAAGAGAACAGGATCTGGAAATGAGACCAGAGTCCAGGGGACTGAGGAGCTTAATCGCTGTCTACTGCGTGCCTGGCACCCTGTGAAGACCTTGGATGATTCCCTGTGCTCCCAACTTACAGATGAAGAAACCGAGGCGCAGAGAGAGCCAGTGAATCATGCAAAGCGACACCACACTGAGGTGGACTCAGGCCTTTGGAGACCTGGTTTCTAGTCACTCACCCACTCCAGCCTTCAGCTGGCTGAGTTCCTGGTAGATCTTCTCCTGCTTTGACTGTTCCAGCTCCAGTTCCTGGAAGCTAGGGCTTCTGGAGACTGTGCCATGAAAACATGCAATCACTCAGCACGGCCTACTGTTTTTATTAAGCACGTATTGGCCTTCATAAGAGCCATGGCAGTAGGCTTCCAGAGACATTGTATCTGAGTGCTAATGTCTGGGTTAATCCCATTCAGAGAATGACCACCAGAGACGGCCAAGAGGCAAGGGGGAGTAGATCCAGGAGCCCAGTCACTTCTTCTCACTCTCCTCCCCTGCGCCAGCTATGGGAGGGGTCCTGAGACGCCCATAGAGGCCTCTGAAGGACCCCATGGCAGCTTCAGCCCTACCTCTGTCCCAACCCTCAGTCCTCCCCTGACCTTGGACAAGGATGGCCACCAGGAGTCCAGCAAATAACGTGAAGGCGAGCAGCTGTAGGGCCAGGGGGAGGGAGTAATCTCCCAGACACCCTGTGGAGAAGAATAGGGGTTCCAGTATGCCGGCATCCCTGCCTCAGTCTGGCCCAGGGGTGGTCTGGCCAGCAGACTCTTCCTTCCCAGGATAGAGGATCCAGTTCGCACCCCGCCCCGCTCTGGGACCCGGGAGAGCAGAATCCCAGCGTGTTCCTTCTCAGGACCCGAGTGTCCGGGAGGAGCTGTCCACGCCTCCTCGGTCCCCAGCCCTGCTCTACCTGCAGAGAATTTGAATCCAGAAAGGCCAAAGCCTTTCATAAAACTTCCGGGGCCACCGGCTATCAGCTCTTCTTCATCTGAATGGGTAGAAAATCAGTTAGAGCCTGGTCTGAGCAGGCGGAGCCTGAGATCTTCCCCTCCAGACCTTCCCCGAGCTCCCAGAGTCCCAGCCCAGCCTCACCCGGGGGCCCCAGCCGCTGCCCCTTGGCTTCCTTGGCGTCTGTCATGTTCACCGCTGTCCTTCAGTGCTCAGGACTGGTGCGAATCACAACTTTTATGCCCCACACCCTGTTCCTCACTCCCTGAATCTACTGTCACACAGGAAGAGAAACAGGGAACTGGGTACTGGGCCCGGAAGAGGTGAGAGGGAGGGAACCATGAGCCTTGGACATGCTGCCGCAGTGGCCAGATGTTCCAGCAGGCTCTAGGAGGGGTCGGCGGTGGCCTGGGCTCCCTAGCAGAAAGAACCGTTGCATTTGTGGTATGGCCAAGCTGTGGGATGCCTCTAGTGAAAGCAACGAAGTGTAAGAGAAAACTGCTTTTCCATTCCTTCTCCGCCTGTGGCAAGGGAGGGCGTGCAAATGCTCCCAGTCTCCCTGGAAGCACCGTCTCCTCCAGCCCCAGGCTCTCCGCCTTGGTTTGCCAATATCCTTATTCTTGGTGCTTCCGCCGACTTACGGGAGTAAGGCTGAATTACGGTTGTTGATATTTATTTAATGTCTGATGTAGTTATGCATTTTGACTCTGTTATGTTTATATTCATTTCATCTTCCCAGCCTGTGATGGGTGATCTGACCTGTTTTACAGCTGAGTGAATTCAAAGCACAGGGAAGTCAGGTGACTGACTCAAGGTCACACATCTGGTGAATAGTAGAGCCGGAAATTGATCCTAGATAGCCTGCCTTCACAGTGTATGCTGTGAACCCGGGAGAACTGCATAGCCTCAAAGAGAAAACAAGGGCTGGGGACTTAGCTCAGTGGCACAGCTCCTGCCTGGCAAGCGCGAGGTCATGAGTTTGATTCCTGGTACTGGAAAAAAACCAAAAAAAACAAAAAAAAACCAAATCAAAGAGAAAACAAAAAAAGTAATTGCAGCTTTATTCATAATTGCCCAAATTGAAAAAGAAATCCAAGTGGTCACCAAAACATGAACAGGAAGAAAATGGCGGCACTTGGAGGTGGATGACTACACAGCAATGAAAAAGCAAACTAAGGAGACCTGCAAGGGAACAACTTAGTTAATCTTCTAGAAGAGTGGAGGCATTAAGACATATAGAATAATTCTCTAGATTTGCTCCAGGAATTTTTTTCTGAGAAAAGGGAGAACTAAGCTTGACTGGGATTCAGAATAGAGACTCGACAGTGGGAAGAAACGCCCACTACTGTAAGATTAGTAGAAACTGAGTGTGGTGTCCTCATAAGAGGAGCTGTTTGGCCAGGGGATCATGTGTGCAGGAGTTAAGTGTCGAGGGGAACTTGTCAGGCCATTCCAGGGCTTTCTGGTTTGCACAGATGTCAGGGCAGAGACAACATTGGGTCTTAATTTCAGCTCTCATATCACATGGGCACTTTGATGCATGACAACAACTTTAACCTTGCTGGCGACTGAGACTTTTAGGGAGTAGGAGAAAAGCTCCCCTAGGAAATGAATGACATACATGCATTTTATACGTAGAGGCCCCCAAACAACCAAAAGGATCTGATTTACACACATATCTGCAAACACAGACACACCTACCTTTTATACAACTGTAGAACACCCAGTTTTCTCAAACTCCCCAGGGCACATTCACCAAGGCAGCCCATGTCTGGGGAATTGAAACAAACCTCAATGCCTTTTGGTGAACTGGATGATGCAAAATAAATTCTCTGGTAGCTATGGAATGCAACTAGAAATCAGTGCCAGGCTCAGAACTGCGTCCAAACTCATCCCACGATGTGAGCACTCTCCTGATACCGTAACTGGATGAGGACCAGGAGCAACAGCAACAAAAAAACTACACGCCAGCTATCTTGTTGAACACAGATGCAAAAACCCTCAATGAGGTAGTTACAAATCAAATTTAACAATTGTTAAGAAGACCATACATCACGACCAAGTTGGGGTCATCTCAGGGGGGCAAGGATGATTCAACATATATGTCAATAAATTTAATACTCCACAGAAATAATATTAAAGATAAAAATCAAATGACCATATCAATAGATGCAGGAAAAGCCTTTAACAAAATCCAACATCCTTTATTAGAAAAACCCTGATAAAAATAGATGTAGAAGGATCTTACCTCAAACTTGTAACAACCATACGTAAGACACCCAAAGCCAACAATGGACTGAATGAGGAAATCCAGAAATTATTCCTTCTAAAATCAGGAATGTAACAAAGGTGTCTACTGTCACCACTATTGTTCAGTACAGCACTCAAAACTTTAGCCAGCAATCAGGTAAGAGAAAGAAATAAAGAGTTGACAATAGGAAAGAAATAAATCAAATTATCTTTATTTGCAGATGATATGATCCTGTATATTTGACAAGCCTAAGAACTCTACCTGAAGACTCTTAGGGCTGATAAACAAAGTCAGCAATTGGGCAGGATGCAAAATCAATACATGAAACTCAATAGCACTCCTGAGGTAGATGTGGTACATGCCTGTAATCCCAACACCCTGGGAGGCAGAGGCAGGAGAATCACAATTTAGTGATTTAGCAAGATCCTGTCTCAGAATAAAAACTGAAAAGAGGGCAGGGTGGCAGCTCAGTGCCAAGGTCCTGGATTCAAACTCTAGTGTTACAAAACAAAACAAAACATCCAGGTGTGGTGGTGCACGCCTGTAATCCCAGCACTCGGGAGGCTGAGGGAGGAGGATCTTTGCAAGTTTGAGACCAGCTTGGGCTGGGGATATAGCTCAGTGGCACAAGAGCCTGCCTAGCAAGTGCAAGGTCCTGAGTTTGATTCCCAGTACAAAATTTAAAAAAAAAAAAAAGAGAAAGACCAGCCTGGGTTACAAAGTAAGCTCAAGGCCAGCCTGAACTGCATAATGAGACCCTGTCTCAAAAAGACAAACAAAACAAAACAAAAACTCTCCCAACCTGCACAAAACAAACAAGAAAACCGCAAAGATGTTTCTATGTACCAAGAACAAACCCAATTGAGAAAGAAATCGGGGGACAATTCCATTCATGATGATGTCAAAATTTTTTTTTTCACCAAGGCAGTAAAAAATTTCTACAACAAAAACTAGAGAATGCTAAAGAGACTGAAGAGAACACGAGGAAATGGAAAGATCTTCTCCATTTCTGGGCTGGCAGAATCAATATCATTAAAATGGCCCATTACCCAAAGTGATTTAGTGAAATGCCTATTACAATACCAAAAATATTCTTCCCAGAGCTAGAAAAAAAATCCCAAAATTCACATGGAAGCAGAAGACACCTAGAATAGCCAAAGCAATCCTGAGCCAAGAGAGCAAAGTGGGAGGCAACACAGTTCCCGATTTCAAGTTACACTACGAAGCTATAGTAACAAAACAGTATGGTACTGTGCGAAAGTAGATGCACTGGCTGATGGAATAAGGCGTAAGATACAAGAAACAGTCCCAGGCAGCATCTTCCATCTGATTTTTGATAAAGGGGTCAAACACATGCGTTGGAGAAAAGATAGTCTTTTTAACAAATGGTGCTGGGAAAACTGTTTATCCATATGCAGAAGACTGAAACTAGACCCATATCTCTCATCCTATACTAAAATCAAATCAAAATGGATCAAAGTCTTAAATATAAAAATGAAAATATTGAGACTGTTGGAAGATAACGTAGGGAGAACAGAGGCAGCCGTAGGCGCACGAAGGACTGCCTGAACAGAACTCCTGCAGCACAGGAAATAGTATCATGAACCAATAAACGGGATCACACCAAATTAAAAAGATTCTGCACAGCAAAAGAAACAATCCACTGAGCGGAGAGAGAACTTACAAAATGGGCAAAAATTGCCAACTACTCTTCTGGTAGAAGCCTACTATATAGAATACATAAAGATCTCAAAAAATTAACTCCACCCCCCCCCAAGACTTAATCAGACAATGGACACATGAATAGATACTTTTCAAAAGAAGAAGTACAAATGGCCAATAAATACATGAAAGAAATGTTCATCATATTTAGCCATTCGTGAAATGCAGATCGAAATGATCTGAGATTACATCTTGCTCCAGTAAGAGTGGCTACCGTCAGGAACACCAAAAGCCAGTGCTGGTGAGGAGGTGGGGCAAAAGGAAACCTACACTATTGGTGGGAATGTAGACTAATAGAACTACTATAAAAATCAGTATGGAGACTCTTCAAAAAATTAAAAAAAGAAATTCCACTTAACCCAGCTATATCTATGCTAGCTATGCTCTTGAAAGCATCCAAGACAATGTACTATAGTGACACACACATACCTGTGTGTATACCAGCACAACTCACAATAGCCAACCTCTGGAAACAGCCTAGCTGCCCTCCACAGATGAACCCCTCAAGCAAATGTGGTGCCCAGACACAACAGTGTACGTACGATTCACTACCCACAGAGAAGAGTGAAATCGTGTTATTGCAAGAAGAGCCGTGGAACTCAAGACCATAATGTTACGTGAAATAAGTCAGGCAGAAGCATTTAAATATCACATGGTTTCTCTTATGTGAGAAGCCTAAAACATAGATAAGAGAAAGAGTAAAATAAAGGAGAGTTGGTAGAAAACAAAAGGGCAGAATTGTTTGGAGAAGGGGAAAGAGTAGAAAGAAGAAGAAGGAAGGAAAAGGGCGGGAGGGACTAAAGGGATGGAAAATGACCAAGCTGTGTGACATACATGGATCAGTTCCCCAGAATGAATATAACTGGGATGTGTTGCAAGCATACACTAGTAAAAGGAAAGTAAAATTTAAAAAGAAGCAAGGCATCAAATCAAAATCACAAGAGATCGTCATTTTTGACAAAGCTCTTACATGAGGCCCAAATAAACCAAAATGTGAGGCGCTTTGGCCAAAGTGCTAGTCACCAAGCTGGAGGGAAGTGGTTTTTCTGACTTTCTTAGAGAACAGCCAATTTTTCTAAGCAAGCTAGTTTGAATAGGAAACCTGAAGTAAAGCCGTGCAAACCTCTCATTCCTTATTGTTCTGTCTCCCTGCCCCTGACTTACAAGGAAAGTAACTTGGAAATGACCGAGTTCTTCTTGTTTTGTCTTCTGTCTTTGCTTTCCTCAGTAATTTCTATCTCTACAAACAAGTTCTGTTCCTCCGGGGACTAGAAACTTTATGCTTTCTTGTGCAGTGACATACCAAGCCAACTGAGATGAACTAAATTGTAATTTTGTCCTTTGACAGAAGAAAGATGTCACATCAGTAATCCCAAGAAGCTAATACAGAATGATCCAGATCAACCCAATCACAAGGAAGGAAATAACAAACATCAGAGCAGATAATAGTGAAACAGGAAAAAAAAAAATAAAGCAAATAGAGGAAGCAGCTTTGTTAAAGAGCTGGCTCTCAGTGAGATGGGATTTAACATGAGAGTTCTTCACGAAGTGACGTCAGTGATGTCACAGGGTAGAAGGGAAAGGGAGCTGGGGGATGGGTTTCCACCAACCACTCCTCCAGTTCTGACACTAGCTGCCCAGGGTTAGCATCGGATTCCACTAGTTAAGGGCTCAGTTCCACCCCTAACCCACTCCCGCTTCCGAGATACGTCAACTGCAAACAAAACAAAACAAAACAAAAGGTGCCCAGGCTAACCATGCTTCTGCCAGGCCAGATACAACTGGGGTTTTCTCACAACCCCTCTAAAGTTTTGCAATTTGCTAGATGACTCACAGAAATTCAGAGAACACTGTGCTTGCATATTGTTTTACTATAAAGGATACTGACAGGGCAAGAGAGACGCCATTTTTTTCTGGTTTTAACTTCATAGTAGCAGAAGTCACTTAAAGTTCACTTAAGCTGTAGTTGACACCCCCACAGCCCAGCCCCTTGGTTAGTTATCAGCTTGCTTAAAAGCAGAGCAAAGTCATAAAATGGGAACAGAACAAACAGGACAGACTGGGAAGTAGGCTAAAGGTTAAACTGCAATGGTCATCTGGAACTTGGCCGTCCTACTTTCTGCGAAAGGTAAACTTTGTGATAATTATGTGACAGTCTTGTGAGATTCCCAAAATGAAGTAATGGTTACTACGGAGACCTAAAATGTACTTAAACTGAAAGTGAGACCCAGAGAGGCTTGGACATATTCTCTGGCTCCTGGTTAGAGATGGTCCGACAGCTGGCTGATAAAGCTTTGTTTGTTCCTGCCTTTTTGGTTTTCTGAACTTGCTTGCCGTAACAATACAACTCAGAAAGAATCAGCGGAAGGAGGAGGACACGGTGTGTGGCTTCCACCCACCTGCAGGCGGTGCAGCCCTTCAGCACCTGCATGTTTTCACTGTCCTCGGAGCTCACTGAGTCTCGTCCTTCACGGTTTTCAGAGCAGTCACTCTCCAGCACTGCTGCCTCGGCTCGGGCCTGGAACATTCCCTCAGTGGTTTCCAGCTGCGCGTCCTTTGGAAGCTGATTGAACCATGAGGGCTCATATTTCATTAGCTGATCAATCTACTGATGGGCTCATACTTTGTCTGCATTACTAGGGGGTGAGGGGGATGAATCCTGTCCCCGGGGTCATGGCCGGGAAGACTACAGCTTGTCCCTGACCCTTTTTTTCTTTCTGGCTATTTCTCTCTCTCTGCTTCCTGGCTGCTTTGTGTCTCTCTGTCTTGGTTACTTTTTTCTCATTGCTGGGACAAAATACGTGACGCCCAAAATGAAGGAAGGAAAGGTTTATTTCGCTTACAGTTTGTGGAGGTTTCAGTCCGTACTTGGCAGATTATAAGGCAGAGTGGCACATGGCAGAGGGCTACAGCTCATGGCGCCCAAACACAGCAAAAGCAACAAGCACAAAAGCCAGGAATGGCCTCAAGCAGCCTCTTCCTCTCCCTTACATATGCAAACTATCCACCCCAGGGCAGGTGTAGCTCTCACAGCCATAATCAATCAACTTTAAAAGCCTGCCCCAAGGCTGCATGAGGCTTTGGGGGGACACCCAGACACAAACCATAACACTCTCCTTTGCCATGTGCTTGTGGTGTTTCTGCTTTACAATAGAACAAGCCAACGATGAGTGAAATCCTTTAAATGCTAAACCCAAATAAATCTTCCTTTAAATTCTCAGGTATTTTTGTTTTAAGAGTGGTAGAAAGCTGACTGACAGACCCTCTCCCTAAAGACAGACGGGCAAGGCTGAGATTTCCAGTTCCTTTTACCGGGTCTTCGGTTCTTCTGGTGACCAGTGCCATGCTGAATTTATAAGAATCCCATGCCAAGTCACCTCGTTATCATAAATTCAAGTCTGGTCCATAGGGCTGAGTATAACTAACAAAACACATACATGTCATGTAAGAATCCAGACAAAGATCAACTATATATTTTTATTTTTCCAAATAAGGGAGTAGGAATGGTCAAGGGAACATCCAACGGGGGAGGTGTGCCAGCAGCAAGAGCTGTCATATGCGGAGCTCTGGAACCTGAAGGATCCTTCAGAGTTGTCCCCTTCCGGCCCAGCACGGCCTGACCTTCATCATCCTTCACTCGTGTGAGTTGCGTCAGGAAGGAACCTGACCCTGGCGAAGGCAGCTCCCTGCAGCAGAGTCCAGGTGGGAAGAGCGGACAGGTGACAGCTACTTCCCTCAGACATTGGAGCAGCTGGAGAAACATGTCTTTCCTTGAAGAGAGACCTGAGAGCCCACTTTGGGCGTTCACCACAGTATCGCCAAGGGGGCAAGGAGCTGGGGTATTTGTACACCAATACACACAGACATTCACTGACCAGAGGAATCAGTTCCTTAGTGTGTTCAGCCTGCAGAATGAGCCACAGCAGCCTGGGAAGGTCCCCAGGCAAAGCGTCCCAGGGAAAGTGCATGGAAACTGAGCAGGTGGAGGAAAGCAAGTGGGGTAGAGCCCCAGGGGCTGGGCCAGCAGCTGTGCTTGGCAATGCAAACCCTGCGATGCCATCCAGGAAAGCAACGTAGACTAGAAACACACCAGCCTCTAGATGTATCTCACAACTGGTCACTGAAATAAATTACAATGAATCAGAACCATAATTACTAAACCAGGGCGGAACGTGGAGACAGCAGAGAAGACTGCAGTGGCCCAGGCTCCCTGGGGATGAGGGGTGTGACAGAGAAGAGTCCTGGACCATTGTTCAAACCTCAGTGTCCACAAAGTGGGAGAAAGAACCGGGATGAACGTGGTACAGCTCTGCCACTCGGAAGGCTGTCAGGCAGCTGGGGCTGCAGGAGGGAGCTGGTCGTCACTGTTGGAGCATGAAGAGGCAGGTTTTTTGCAGATCCAGAATTTCTTGAGATTACAACGGGCGTCATTCCAGCCATCACCTCTGAATTCCACACAGTCCTGTTCCTGGTAGTTGTTGGGCTGCCCTTTGTTCCAGTACTGCATGAGGCTGTGAAGTCCACGAGGACATAAGCCTCTGCCCCAGCGCCCTCTGTGAGCCCTGTTTCTAGCTACTAGAAACATGGTGCTTTCACATCTACCCTGCATGCATATGGCGGGCATGCCTTGTTTGGGCTCCTGACGACATGCCTGAGTCACTTGAACTTGGCCCCTGACCCTTGTTGTCCCCGTGCTTAGGAGATATCCTCTTTCTGAGGTTGTGATTTTCAGATACAAATCAGCCCCTCTGGACCCCACACCTCCGATCACATCCATGTTGGAATCTGGGCCCCTGTTCACCTCCCTAGGGTTGAGTACCAGGAAACTAGGAACAGTATCTAAACCCACGGACATCGCAGGGAACCGCTCCTAAGGCTGCTCACCCTGCCGCACCTGCTCCTTGCCATGGAAGTAAAGAAGGCTCTGTTCACAGCTTCCCCACCCTCTACCTCGTCACCAGCCCTGGTTCTTCCCATGTAGGTATATGGCGTGATATGCATCTCCAATCTTGGAATCTAGGAATCTAACATGCTATTTTTAAAGAGGAAATTGTCTCTGAGATGTTGCTCTTACTACCCCTCAGATTTTCTATTAATTAGAAATTCTATAATTCTATTATAATTAGAATTCTATAATTCTAGAAATTCTATAGAAATTTATTATTAGAAATTTTTATTCTAAATTAACTTTTATTCTAAATAAATTCGAAAATTTATTTATTATTAGAAATTCTATAATTCTATTAATTAGAATTCTATAATTCTATTATAGAATTAATTCTATAATTCTATACCATATTTCAGTCTCTATCTCAAACTGCTTCTGCACCTTTCATGGTGGGATTTTATTTTATTTTTTTTATTTTTTATTTTTTTGGTTTTTCTCCAGTAACGGGAACCGAACTCACGACCTTGCGCTTGCCAGGCAGGCACTTTGCCGCTGAGCTAAATCCTCAGCCCCCCATGGTGGGATTTCAGACACCAGCCATCTTATCTCCGTATGGATATGAAGGTCATCTTCCTCAGCTCAGTAAATATCTTATGCTGAGCGGGACAGAACCCCAAGTGTAGCTGAAACCGGAGATTGAGGACCCACTTCTGCGGTATAGGGTGCACACTTCTCCTTGCACACACCTGAAGGACAGAGGTGAGCCATCCACCCAGCGCCACGTAGATTCCTTGTTCAGGTCTGAGAGTCCCATCCAGGCATAGCCTTTGCTCTTAGAAGTCTGTTGCAGGAAGCTCTGGAGGGGCAGAGGAGAAGTCAGGAAGGAACTCTGTTCCCAATTTTTAAGCTGGAGCCACCCTAATCTCTTAGCAGGAAGGTCTGCTTGCACTCTGATCTTTCAGCCTTCTGTTTTAAAGACCAAGGACCTCCAAGTTTGCTCAAGATGTCTGAGTCCTCCCACATCTGTGTGCTTTGTACAAACGTGCTCTGACTTGGGCACACAACGTGCACAGTGGGCCTGCTATCACACACACATGGCAATACTACACGCTTATCAGTGTGACAAGCTCTCAGCATGTCCACATGGGTTTGCTCATGACTAGGCATGTGCTGCATCCAGAACATATGAGTTCACAACTGCTGGTCATGCACCTCACCTCTTTTCAGCGATGCGCTGAAGAGTTATAATAAGCCACAATGGTTATATTTGCACTACAGAAATTGGCAAACATGACTCCCTGGGGGGCTTTTCTCCCACTGGCTTTTACACCAACACTTACACTTTGAGTGCTTCCCAAAGCATACACTCATGTTCAGAACTTGAGTGTGTCTCCTTCAAGGTGCACGAGACCCCCTCGTCATATTTTTTCTCCTCCTTTTCCAAGGGCACAGAGCAGCTCCTAGTCCTGAAAACCCTGATCTGACCAAACACCATGCCCTGAGCTGCCAGTGGTGGTGTACATGCCTCAGACTAGGACTCCTGGCCAAACCATGGGTACCTGCTCTTCATCATTTTCCACAATGACCAGTTGAGCCCCGACTTCCTTGCAGGCAGTGATGGATTCATGCCAGTCCCGTTGGGACTTGGAGAAGAAGTAGCACTTGCTTTGGAAGAATGTCCAGTCCCAGGGGCAGGGGCGGCACAGATGACCTGTTGAGAGAGGCGGGGCAGGCTGGACCAGTGTTGGCTGTCCTGCTCCTATGTCTGCCTCGTCTTCACCTCCTGGAGAGTCACAGCCTCCTTTACCCTGCAACGGGGGAAGCCACTCTGCTCTCCCCTTCCGAGCCCCTCCCAGCCCCAGGAGAACCCAGGAAGCTTGGCTCTTCTTCTCAGCTGGGAGAAACCAGGAAACTGGCTCACTTGAATACCTACTGTGTGCTTGTCCCCTTGTGAACACCAGGTGCCATCTTGGCATTTACCTTGTGTTCCTAATTCACAGATGAGGAAACTGAGGCTCAGAGGGGTGTTGGTGACACAAGGAAGACCGTCAGGGCCTTGGAGACGGTTTTCAATCACTCACCAAATTCCGTCTTCAGCTGGTTAAGTTCCTGGTAGAGTTGCTCCTGATTTGACTTCTCTTTCTCCTGCTCCTCACTGCTGGGGACCTTGGAGACTGTGTCCAGGAAAAAATTGCAATTATTAACCCCTCACTCCATGCCCTGGTTTTCACTGTCCTCCCACGGACATCGTGTCTGAGAGCCAAAGTCTTGCTTCGTCTCACTTGAAGAGAAGGAAACCTGACGAGCAGAGGTTGAAAGACAAGGGCAAGCAGGTCCAGTAGCCCACTTCCTCCTTCCCCCTCCCCTGCCCTGCACCAGATGTAGGACGGCCTCTGAGAAGTCCTTAGAAGGAAGCTCTGAAGGACCCCATCCCTGCTTCAGCCCCACCTGAAGGAGCCCCATCCCTCAGTCTTGTCCTGACCTTGGGCAAGGATGGCCACCAGGAGCCCAGTGAAGAGAAGGATGGAGAGCAGCTGTAGGACCAGGGAGATGAGGTCATTGTCCCAACACCCTGCAGGAGAGAAGGGTAGCGGGGCTCCAGCGCAACAGTGTCCTTGCCTCACCTCGCCCCGGGGCAAAATTGCCGCAGGCCTCCTCATCCCCAGCACATAGTAAAATCCCACATCCTCAGGGCCTAGAAATCAGCAAGTCCAGGTTTTATCTTCCCGGCACCCAAGTATCTATGAGGAGCTGTCCGCTCTTCCTCGCCTGCCACCCCTGCTCTACCTGCAAAGCAGCTGAGTACAGACTTCGGTCGGAATCCAAAGCTTTTTTGAGAATTTCTGGCACCGCTGGTTATCAGTTCCTCCTCATCTGAACGATCAGAACATTGGCCAGGTTCTGGGCAGGCAGAGACCCCAGCTGGTCCCCTGCACCCTCTCCCTGCATCCCAGCCCAGCCTCACCCAGCAGACCCAGCTGCGGCACCCTGGATTCCTTGGAGTCTGTCATGTTCACCAGTCCCTCCGTGCCCCAGACTGCTGGGCCCAGAGCTTTTATGTCCCACCCGCTGTTTCCTTCTCTTGAATTTAGACTCATGCAGGAAGAGAAACGGGGAAGTGAGAATCCCCGAAGAGATGAGAAGGAGGAGCTGAGCTTCTCCCATTCCAGGCATTTCGGGGAGCATCTGGGGCGGTCTGGGCTCTGCAGCAGAAAGAAAAGGTACAATCCTGGGATGATCAAGCAGTGGGATGCATTTAACGAAACCAATAACCTGTAAAATAAAGCTACCTTTCACTCCTTCGGCACCTACGGGAAAGGAGGGCAGACAAGTCCCCCACCTTCCCAGAAACACATCTGCTTGTGACACCAGGCCTTGCTCCCTTAGACTGCAATATCCACCCCACGGTAGTTTCAGCCGAATTACAGCAACGAGGTTGAATCATCATTCCCGCTATTTACTAAATGGCTCCTACAGTCGGGCACTTTTGTAACAGCTTTATATATATGACATTTAATCACAGCCTTTGGTAGGCGGTCTGAAGTCCTTTTACAGATGACACAATCTGAAGCACCAAGAGGTCAGGTAACAGGCTTGAGGTCACACAGGTGGTAAGGGGTGGAACTGGGAGTTGATCGTAGACAATCCGGGTCCCTGGTGTGCACCTTGTGAGCCACGAAGCGTCGCACAGCCTCAGGGAGGACACCAAACATTCCCTGCAGGCACATTCAGAACCATCCTACAGCAGAGGCGCCAAGTGGCCGCCAATAGGTGACGGAAATGAAACAGCGGCGGGGCGACAGAGGGAAGATTACCAAGCGAGGAAAAGGAAACTGCTAACGAGTAGAAAAGCACGTGTGGGATATCCCAGAAAAGCAGAAGCTTTCAGGCACCTAAAATATACAGACTCTAAGACTTGGTTCTGCTTCCCCGCCTTTTGAAAACAGGCAGGGTTAATCTTGACCGCGACCCAACATAAGTGTCCCAGAGAGTGGGGCTGACCAGGAGGAGAAGCAAGGGGGCCTTCCCGGTGCCCTGAGTGTCATCTGCGATGTGGCCACCGGGTGACTTCATGGATCACGTGTGTCAGGACGTATGTCCAAGAGTTGTGCTTTGTGTGGGCTGTGTTATACTGCAAGTGAAAAATTGAAAAATATATGCATGTGCTATGACGGTGTGTGGGTTTTCCGCTTTCACCTATTATTTTTGTATAACTATTTTATTGTAGAGTACCTTCTGGCAACTTTGCAAATACAGAATTTCCAAAACTCCTCTCACCCGGTTCCCCTTCTGTTGTTGACGTATATGTTAAGATGTGGTAGTCATGAGCAATGGGCCAGCGTTGGTTTCTTACTTATGACAAACGCACACAGTAAGCTACACGTGCTAGATTTCAGAGTTTCCCCCAAATGCCTTTCCTTTTCTTTTTCCAAGTCCCATCCAACCCACCACATTTTGTGTACACACCTTAGGCTCTTCTGAGGTGTGATATTTTCTTAACCAGTCCTGGCTTTTAGTACCTTGAGCGTTGAGGACAACAGACCAGGTATTTTGTAGAATGTCCCTAAAATTAGTGGCATCTAGCATTTTTTTATCAATTATTTTTTATTTTTTGTGGTGCTGGGGGTCAAACTCAAAGCCTTATGCATGGAAGGCGAGAGCCCTACTACCGAGCCACAGCCTCAGGCCCCATCAATTGTGTTTTCATGTCTTCCATTCAACTCAAAGGATGTGGATGGCTGAACACACAGCTGTTGACATGGAGCCGATGTGATGAGCCACACTCAACTGTCACCTACATCCTGTGCACCACAACGCAGGCTGAGAAGGCACTGCTAGCCACGCAGGGCCACACGAAGGGTGTACTTGGAGCAGAGTGAACAACGTCGGGTCGGGGAAGGCTAACTTCATAGTGTGAAGGGTGTGGGGCCCTCAGTGGGCTCCACAGGAGGGCATGATTAGCTGGATTGAGTGATTCCATGGTTGGCAGTGAATTTATGCCCACTCTTAGCTAGGTTCCCACAATAAGAATGGTGGTTTGGCCAAAGGAACTTGCATACAGAAGCTGAGTGGGGAGGGGAACTTGTGGTCAGTCCATCCCAGGGCCTGCTCGTTTGCTCCAGATGTCAAGGCAGCAGCTCATAATGAGCCTCAGTTTCAGTTCTTACACTCCATTGACCCTGGTGCTCGGTAGCAATTTCAACCTTGGTGATTGCCAAGAGTCTCGGGGAATAGGAGAAATGCTCCCCTAGGAAATGAATTAAGTGTGTGCGTTTTGTACGTAGAAGGCTACCTAAAATCCAAAGCTTTGATTCATCACCCACAGATACACACAGACACACAGACACACACACACTTCACCAACTATAGAATACAAGTTTCTCAAGAGTCCAAGGAATATCTACAAAGGTAACCCATATCCAAAGATTAAAAAAAAAAAAAACACCTCAATACTCCTGGGTAAGTTGAATGTGTTCTCTGATTGTCATAGATTCCAACTAGAAATCAATACCAGACACAATGAGATCCTCTAACACATGGAAATTAAACAGTACACTTCAAGATAAGCCACAATTCAAAGAATAAATGTCAGAAGGGATAAAAATATTTAGAATTGAGTAAAAATGCAAAAGAAATATATCACGATATGTAAGCCATAATTAAATCAGCGCTGAGAAGGAACTTCACAGTACTAAATGGTTCTACTGAAAGAAAGGTGTTAAATAAAAATCACAAGAGGTGGTTATTGTGGGCTGAGCCTCTGGAAAATCCCTAAGAGACCAAGAAAAACCAAACATGGAGGCACCAATGCTAAAGTTTCTATTCACCAAGCTAAAGCCAAGACGTTTCTCTGTCTTTTTTGAGAAATCAGAATGAGAGGAAAATAGCCATGTTTTCCAAAGAGGCTAGTTTTAAGACAGAGACCACCATAGGGACAAAGGACAAAAAACTCCTGTAACTTCACTTATTGCTCATTAAAAGCATAATTTGAGCTTTCTTCTGAGGCAGGTAGGGGCGTGAGAACTGCTTTTGCTAAAACAATTAATCATCATAAAACAAAATAGTGACCCCTTTACCTGGGCACACAGATGGCCAGCTGAGTGCATTGCAAAGCTTGATCTTCATTTCATATCTGTCTTTCTTAGTCACGTTAAAACTCTTGGTCAGATCTTTCTTCAGCTCAGCATGAAGCACATAGAGAGTGTCCCCATAAAAAGGGACAATACAAAGTTGATCAGTCTATCTCATCCCTCTTCAAGACTGAGGACACCAAGGTCAGAGATTTCCAAGGACATTCAGTGACCAAGCAGCAGTGCCCAAAAGACTCCAGTCATCGCTCTAACCATACAGGCACCTTGAATCCCAGCAGAGCCTTAACAAGACAAACTGCCAATTAACTCACAGAGATAGAATCGCCTTCTCGAGCAACAGAGACCTCTCCAGAGCCATCTTGTAAAACCAGAACTGAGATAGTGATCAGACAGATCGCAGCTCACCTTGACTCCTCTACAAAACCCGGCCTCTTTCCTTGTAAGCGGGCCAGTTGGATCTTCTCGTCAGAGCTGCACCCTCTTTAGCTCTTCAAGCCAAAGTTCCCTTTTTCACATACTTTTTAAATGTGCCAAATAAATCTGCCTGTGCTTCTCAAGGAAGCACCTTGAAATGCTTTCCTGCAACGTGGCACTGACATGAAAAGTCAAGGTTCCGCCTGGGGTGACTTGTGTGGGCTCTGTCCTGTGAACTTTCAGTGGGCTTGAACATGAGGTTCTCTCTGCCCTCATCCTTACACAAAAGGGGAGACCTGTTGTGACCTCCCGGAAACAAACGGTCACTCATTCCTCTATCGTTCTGCTCCCTGTTCTTGACTTCCAAGAAAAATAATTTGCAAAATGACCAATCCTCTTTCTACATTTTGTTTCTGCTTTTCTTGACTCTTTCTATCTATACAACCAAGTTCCATTGCTCTGAGGATTGTCACCCTGTCTTATGGAACGTGGCATTGCCCTATTCTAGAATTGTCCATAAAGCCCACTGAGATCAACTAAATTGTAATTTTGTCCTCTGACAGAAGAAAAATCTCTCAATAAACCCAAGGAATTCACAAAAGAGGAGCTAAATCAATCCAAAAGAACCGTAAGGAAGGAAATTAAGAAGGTAAGAACAGAAAGCAACAAAATGGGAAACAATAGAGAAAACCAGAGAAACAAAATCTTGTTGAAGACTGGCTCTCACTGAGAGGGAATCTAACATGCAAGTTGTTCATGAAGAAACATCTGTCGTGTCACAGGGTAGGATACTTGGGAAGCTTGGGGGTTTGTTTTCTACCAAGCAATCCTCCAACTCTGACTACAAAGAGTTAACATCAGATTCCACTGGCTAGAGAACTCAGTCCCACAACTGAGGTGTCAGGTGCCAAAAGCGTTTCCAGGCTAACCACAAACAGGGTGCTTAGCCAGCCAGGCCAACCATAAACTGGGTTTTTCCAGAACCCCCTCTAAAGTTTGGTAATTTTCCAAAGAACTCATAGCAACACTCTGCTTATAGTTAGCGGTTTATTTTGAAGGATTCAATTCAGAAAGAGCCAAGTGGAAGAGACTCTTACAGCGAAGGAAGAGTGGGGGCGTTGTGTGTGGTCTCCATGCAATACCAGATGTGCTCACCAGCGTGGGAACTCGCTAAATCTCCTTGTTCAGAGTACTTATAATCAGTCTTAACACCCTCTCCCTTGCGATAGACTGCTGAAGTGGACACATCTGGTTCTTTAACCACATATTTATTTTCTCTGGTTACCAGCCCCATGCTGAGGTTATCTAAAGACCTCGCTTGTGTCACCTCATTGGCATAAATTCATTACGGTCCCTGGGGTTGGCTATGAATAACCAAAGACACCCCTGTCACTGAGGAATGCAGGCAAAGACCTAATGTATATTTCAACTTTGTCACAGGAAGAAAGCAGAAAAGGGCAGAAAGACAAGGCAAGCAGGGGAGGTCTCACAGCAGCCACAGCTGGCCCCGTGGGGAGCTTTGGAACTAAAATGGTCCTTGAGAGATGCGCCATGGTGGCCTGGCATGGTAGGACCTCCATCATCCTG